GTTAGTTGAACATTGTTATTGAAGATATTTTACTATAAATTATTACTACCTATATGTTAATAGTTAAATGGTTTAATTAAACAATATATTGATGGAGTTACCTCAGCTTCTCCAATTTAACAGCCTCCGAAAATTCGTTCATCGCAACCTTTTTCTGTCTTTGTCTCAGATCTGTTTTCTGGTCGATCGACATTTTTAACTCTTTTCCATAGTTGATCATCATTTGCCGTCGCTCAGCGTTTTTTTTCTCCTCTACTTCGTTAAAGACTTGGAAGTTTTGCAATAACTGTGACATATTAAATATTATACGGTTTTTAAAAGCATGAATCATTTATAATTTAATCTATTACTATTTTGACTAGATCATAATCTTTTTCTTTCTCTGCTTTCTCTTTGTCTTTTTTAATGTTTAATTGCATTTCTTTTTGCTTCAGCATATCTTCCCGTTGCAGAATTTTTGAATCTTTTTCTTTTTTGTCTGCCAACCAAGTAGCACTTCGCTGTTCTTCGTATAAAAGTTTATTTTGCATTTCGATATTTTTCGATGTATGAGACTATAAAAATATATATATATATTTATATATATTGAAATAAAAATAATAATATATTATTCAGTAGTTACAGTATATCATCTTTAATTTTAATTTGCCAATCGAATTATACTTACCGTTAATGATGCTAAATTATCAACTAAGCAATTATAAATTCTGTCATTTTCTACTTTCTTTTGGTTTTTAAATTCTTCCTGTTGTTTATTCCGCTTATCAATTTCCATCAAATACTCCTCTATACGCCTATACATAAATATTAAGACACGATACAATAATATGCACAATATTTCAAATTGTACTAGGATTCTTACTTATTTGTATTATCGGATTCTTTGCGTTCAATTTCCTTTCGATCATTTTTCATTTTTGTAAATAATTCCAGTTCTTTTTGAGAACAATTAGTTTTAACATTATTTTTTTGTGCTTCACTGTTTCTAGTTGCTTCAAAAATTACAAGGTTATTTTTTAGTGATAACTCTCGTTGTTTTTTGATGATGTTTTCCTGTATTTGCTCTGTGATCGCCTTTTTATAATCTAAATTAAGTTCATTTTTTAGGGTTTGTTGTTCTATTTCCTCCTTATTTTCGTCATTCCTAGATTCTATCATTCTCAAATCATCATAATATACTCTGACTTTCTCTTCTTTTTTTAAAGCTTCTTTTTCTTTAATTTGACACATTAAATCTTTGTTTGCATAAGACGTTCGCAATTGTTTCTCTACATGACGAAGTTCGTGCGAATTGTTTTGAAGTAACTGACTGCGAAAAATTATACCAAACAGTTAGTTGTTTTTAAATTTAAAATTAACACGATTTAAAATATTAAGCAACTTGGTTTTTATTTCGACAATTTCACGGCGTTTTAAATCTGCCATCACTTGAGCTAGTTTTTGCTCTTGTTCCAACTCGGCGATTTGTCTGGCCTGAGCTTCTTTAGCCTGAAATAACAAAACGTTATTCAAAACGTTTATTGGTTTTTAATAAGTCATATACTTTTTGTATATTCGTGAACATCTCTTCTTCCTCTGACTCTAAATGCATACGCCTATACAACGATACATTAGCCGCGTTCTGACGCATTTTGCAGATTTCAATGCAACGAGCATCATTAGCTATCTGTTCGGAAATCTTTTTCTGTGCTTCTATGGTGCTGATCTCAGTTTTTTGTTGTTCACTCATACTCAGACAAATACGGAAATTAAATTAGTTTTAAATTATATTTTTAAACAATAGTTATTACTTATTAGAGTAAATACACATTAAAATAATTTAATAAACAAAAAGCATACATTTACATATTTAATTAATATATCTTCTATTACTATGACCACGTTATATGTATACAATATGCGATGTAATCTAATAGTATTTAGTTATGCATGTAGGGCATTGAAATATGTTAGCATCACAAAAATAATAATTTGGGGAGTTGATAGTAGCATTTCTTTAAGATTGTATCAGTAGTATAAAGTTATATTATTAATATAATAGTACATTATACATATATTATTATAATTTTCAAATATTAGTATTAGTGTCTCGATAATTCGATAAAAAAAAAGATATGTCAATCTCCTTCTCCTTGGCAACGGCTTTATTTTTATTTCTATACTTGTACAGTACTTTGGGCGATCTTTTTGCTATCTCGATGACAATATTTTTCATAATAATTTCCAAAACATAAATCTGTTCTTCATAAGATCCCCCAATTCCGAACATCATCTTTGTCATCTTTCTAGCAAGTTTATTAAATTTTGTGTAGGTCAATTCTTTGACATCTATTGTGTTATCATAGGAGGGTGTATTTGATTTTCCCGACAAACTAGATGCTAGTTGTTTGTGAACAAATGCCATCAATCTATCAACTTGGATATCAGCGTGCTACACAAAAAATTTAAAAATATAATTTAGTAACAATCAGAATTAGAAATCTGCACAGTTACATTTTCCAGACAATATTTTTCTGGCATTTCGAACATATTATCCATTAAATGTTCGACGTTTGTATTATAAATGTTTTTAGTATAGCAAACATTCAAGTTTCTCAAAAATTCTTCCATTCTCTTTTGAGCTTTATTCGGATACATGTTTTGTTCTGTAATTATCTGTTCTCCTATGGTTAAATAGCCATACTTCATGTCGTTCGTTAAAAAGTCAAAAACTATGGGTTCTACGTATTGTTCACTGTTTTTTGTTATTAAAAACTGTTTTGGTATCAAATTATTTGTGTTTAAATACTGTAGCCTGTTAATTGTATTTTTTGAACGTCCCAGAATCCGGTCTATACAATTATTAATTATATTATTAATTACACGAATATGTTTAAATAATTAATTTCTGTAATTAGCTTACAACTCATTCGTCTTTTCGTATATTCAAAAACAGTTCTTCTGCATATACCACTAACAATATACGAAACATTCTCATTAACATCCATTTCATGTTCTAGTATAAACTTAACTAAATTCATTATTTCAAGTGCGGTCGTTGATTTATCAATAAAGCCTTTAGCTTTAGCTACTGCATTATACACATCGTTATCGCTAAGTTCATAGTCCAAATCTATAAGTATTAAGTTGTCTAACTTATTATAATATCATATACAATTTTAATTTAATTAAATATTATTGTCTAAAAAACTTTTTTTTTTCAAAAATTTAAGAGCAATATGCTGACATATTATAATATTTATAATATTTAAAATAAAATAAAATAGATTTCTGTTATATTATTCAATAATTATAGAATTTATAAAATGTATGAATATTTTAATTAATTTTACAAAATTTCTGATAAAATGTTTATTGTTTATGTTTTAAATTGTAAATCCTAAAGAACCAGAGCTTGAAAATGTCGAATATTGAGCTGGGAGAATAAACGTTAAATATTAAGTAAATTTCGTAAAAATATACATAATTTTTTATATTATTTTTTTTTTTTGGATTACGAACCAGTTATTAATATTTCTAAAAAATATGTATCCAAGCCCAATGAACGTTTATTCACATTCTTGTCACTTGTTTTTTCGTAGATGTTTCTAAAACCATCGGGCATTATATTTTCGGAGTTTTTAGCCATATCCTCCAAAATTAATGATTTTCTATAAACACATTGTGTAAGTGAGTCCCAAATGGGCCCGATCTTCTGTAGAAAATTTCTGCCTGCTTCGCAATTATTGAAGTTTTTTTTTAACATAGCTATTCTATCTAAATACACTCGAACATTATCCAAATCTGTTTGGTTATAAATCTTTTCTAATTTCTAAAATAAAATAAAAATAAAATTTTACTTAACTTTATGATATACTGTATTATATGAAGTTTGATTAAAATATATAACTTGGTCGGGTTAACATGAAATAATTTATTACTACCGATTGATCAGAATAGCTACACTGTTCTTCAGTAATTTCTTCCATCGGTTCATCATTAATTTCTTCTTCGAATTCTGCAAAGCATAATTCTTGGTCACAATTTTCAAAATCATCAAGTGTTTTATTTTCTATGCATTTGTCGATTAACTGTTGATTTTTTAATAATGTAATATTTTGATAATCAACTTTATTGTAATAACGTTCAATATCTCTTTTTTTCTTTTCAGAATGTCTTATTTTTTCTCTCTCAGCTAATAATTTTTGTGATCTTATGTGTTTATCTAAAATAATTTGTAATTTTTCCCTATTTTTAATGGTCTCAAGTGTTCTGTGATTGTGTATTATTTGTTGCGTTTGCTCTGTTTTTTGATACTTGGCTTCCAATTTTTTGTTATTATCTTTAACATTTTCCCGGTGTATTTTATCGATTCGTTTGTTGTATTTTTCCACTAGTGTTCCAAGCAATCCTTGGCGCTTATCATTTTCAATTCTACGATTTTCTCTATGAGCATTTAGCTTAGCGTCTATAATGTTTTTTTTATTTATACCTTCAAGATTTAATAATTGATCAATTTTTTTTTAATAAATCATGTTATTCTGCATACTAAAACAACTAATATACCTAACGATACAATAATACACATTTATTTTATGGACAAATATTTTTTCAAAATATCGTTTTATTCTCTGTTAATATTATTACCTTAACATAGTAACATGTGCTGTTTATTTTTATTATTATTATTGTTATTATTATTATTATTATTATTATTATTATTATGCCATCATCCATTTCTTAGGAAACGTTTATTAAAAACACTTTTGGTTGGTTAGTACAATCACTGTTGATTTAATTATTTTAAATTTTATTTTGTATCTTAAACAATTTTGGAAAAACAGTGAAAAATGGACTCTACAATTGTATCTAATACTGAAGAACCATGTGTTGTGTACCCCTGGGTAAGAACAATATTGGATTTAATAAATAATATTATGCGTTATTGAAAACAAATATATATGTAAAGGAACCTTGTCATGACAATGAAAGCTTCTTTTGAGGATAACTATCTTGACCATATGAGTAATTTAAAAATTGAATCAAGTCCATCACCAAACACATTAACCACGATAGCTTGTGGCATCCGTACGTATATTTTTACATATTATGTATACACAAAATAGTTAAGATTCTCTGTCCATAAATATTTCTTTTGATATTATTATTGTTTCAGAACATAACGTGACTAGAAGTTTAATAGAAGAATTTTGTGAAAGTGGTGCATCTATGGTAATATTTGATTTTAACGGCTTATCGTTTGAACAGAGTCGAAAAGTGGTCTACGAACTTCGCCAAGGGGTTTTTAATTACAGTCTTAAATAGAACAACCGAGTACCGTATTCAATGACATTAGTACTTGATCTTGAAGGATCGTGCATTACAACTGGAAGCATATTCCATACAACAGTGTAAATATTAATATAAAATAATAATTTTTAAATAACGGTTATGATTTCTAAGAAAAATTATTCAAGTAGCGTGGCTTAATTATTCTAATGAACAACATAATGTATGATAATAAATTATACAAAGTGTGAAGTCATAAAAAATGTTATTTCTAAAACGATTTATTATTATCACGTTTCTAGTAATTTGTATAGAACACTTAATTTTACTTGATAGACCACACAACGTTTGATAGAATTACCGACGAACTCTCATGTCACCAACGATGTCGAGTACAAATTTAAATGTACGGAGGATCGTATTTATGTGAACAGCGATATAATTCTTTGGCTATAAACTAACGATCGGATCTACTTGGGTTACCGAAAAATCGAACTGGCGGTAATAAGAGAGTTGGTGTTTTTCATCGCAGGATGGAGTGGACTGTACTTTTTGGTAAGGTAAAGGCTACGCAATAAATCAAACTCGATAAGCTATAGGTCAATGCCGGTTGGCGGCCTACTATTAAACAAGAAAAAGTAGAAGTAAATATTGTATAAGTGGCACAAAAGGTGCTGGCCAGCAAAGGGGAATAATTAACAAACGCTACAATAATTGAATATAAATAAATATTTACATAAAGGTATAGATATAAAAACCGTGACGGCGGCTGCAGTCCCGGTTGACGGTTGATGGTGAAGAGGTACAGTTAGGCGGTGACTAGGTAGACAATTTATTTGGTGTATTTAAATATATTTATATTTTAAATAACTATTAAATTGGTGGGTATATCTTTGTTTAGGAGGGGGTGACTGATCTAGCTGCTACGATACAGCTTATTTATGGGGGTATGAGCCCTAAGCCAAACCAATATTTGTGCGTATGTACTTGAGATATATAACTAATAATACGAGGTAATAGTAAGTAATACAAAATAGTATAAATTTACATCTATTTTGTTACATTTAGGAAACAAATTGCAATATAGTTAGACTAACTAGGACCACGGTTATCTAATAGTAGATAACCATGACTAGGCCCTAGTAACTAATATATTAGGCCCTAAGAAATATTGAGGTATTTATTTTTGTTCATGAAAACCAAATTTTTCAATTGCATAAGTAGGTACTAAAATACTAACGATAATCGCGATGATCCAATGCAAACCTATTTAACTATTGATTTGGATTTTAAGCATTAAATGTGGTTAGTGTTTAAATAATGTTCTAAAGCATGTTTGAATGTTAGATAAACTACAGTAAAGTTGTTGTTATGTTTTTACTATAAGTTTTTACTAATAATAATTGTAACTTTTAATATTATAAATTATAATATTTGATAAGAGAAAATTCTAACCGTATAAAATAAAACTGTTAACAGCCAAACTGACTATATGTATATTGGATGGGGGCAAAAGCATGATTATAATATGATTTATAACATTTTTATGGACGAAATTAAAATGGAAAATCCAACTCAAGATGATACCTTTACGGTGGAGTTTCAAGAATTTACTAAGAAAGAGAAAATGGAGAATGAAAAACATCGCATACGTACAAAACGTAATAACCCTTTTCCACTACGATTTAATCGTACAAAATACAAAGGTGGTGAAAAAGTTATTACATATTATACTTACGAGTAATAAGCAGAATGTTCAATCATAAATTGTTAATAAAAAATATCATACAAATAAAATATCAAGTGAATTATAATTTTTATTTTTGCTGTAATTTGTATACTATCGTTAAGTAGGTACCAAATAGGTTGGTTTCAATAAATATATACTCAATCGGATCTTCATCCAAAATTACAAGCTAATATACCTACTTACATCATTTATTGTGGTCATTGAAAGAAAAATATTAGAATATTATTTTTAAAAATATTCTGGTTTTAAAAAAAAAAAAAATGTTTAAATCATTAATTAACGTTGGTACTCAAGGACTTAACGTTTAATTTTCGTGACAAATTAATTTGGTTACTGTAAGATCAGAATTTTGAATGGTAAATATTAATTTAAATTTGCCACCACTTTGTCCGAATTAAATCGTTCTTAAATGAAAATAATTTTTTGTCTGTTAAATGCATGGTTTAATAATATGTAATTAATAATATAATATTATACATTTTATAGACCTTGATTATAATACACTAAGTTGATTTTGTTTTCTCTGGCCCACGCGCAACATAGATAATGTATGTACCTATAGAAGAACCATCCCAGCTGGGTCTTTACTTTAAATCTTAGAGTGAATTCACCTATTGTCAAACTACAAGCTAAGAACATTACCTGTAACCTACACAGGTCCATACTTTGGTTTTTTCAATATTTTAATTTGTATACAATTTACTAACTGATTCGTTGAGTCATATAGAATTGATACATTTATCAATTCTATATGACTCAAAGTTTGTTTAATTTGTTATTTAATATTCGGTATCTTAACTTTTCCGTTACCCCGAATAAAAATTCTGATAGAATATCCAGTACATTATCAGGTATGCAATCTACCTGTGATAGATCGTGGACTCCGTGCTGTTTGTACGTAAGTGTATGATTTAACTCTAAAGTATCAAAGTTATACCAAGTTAATCGTTTTTACTTAATTTCGCCTAAGGTGGATTGATATAATCAATTTATACAAAATCCTATCCTAACCTAACCGTACTAAAATCCGATGAAAAAAAAAAACAAATTTAACCCTTCGTAAATTAACCTATCTTCTTTCCGGATGTCTAAACTACCCGCAGACATTAATTTATATATATATAACTATCTAAATACATGGAATATACAGACTAAACTCTGGAACTACTTATCAGATCTTCTTGTATTTATTATATATATATATATATATATGTATATTGCCAAAAGATAATAATACAAATCAACAATCATGCCCGATTAACCAATAACAACCAATATATTATACACTGGTGGATTTTCCTAATATTTTTTTTTTCATATAAACCTTATCCATGAAATACTCTTTCGTTTGAAAAAAAATCAAGAAGATCTGATAAGTAGTTCCAGAGATAAGTAGTACAGAGATTTTCATTTCACATTTTTATAGTTCGATATTATATTACAATTTATATTTAAAAAGTAAAGCAAACAGTTTATTATTATTATTTTTATTATATTGTAATAGCTTAAAAACCTATGGTAACCATTTATAAACAAAAATTTCCATCGGAAATCCCAAAATTTCCGTTTGATCACCTCCCGGGGTTGGTCCTCTCCCTTTTTAAATTAACCTATATTTTAAGTTGGACCACATTACACATAGTGTAAAAAATGTCATCAAGCGATCAGTAGTTTCGAGGTTTATTCCGGACAAACATTGTGACACGAGAATATTATATATATAATAAAAAAATAATTTGTAATAATTTAAACGCTCATAACTTATATAACAATAATTAAAATACCACAAAATAGCAAGCAACGTATAGGGACACAGCCAATGTTTAGAGGAAATGCTCTGAGTGTACGTATCGGCCGGTGTTGCTAGCTCCCGGATGGGTGACCACCCGGGATTTTTAACTACAAATCCTTGCCACACATCCAAACGCGTTTCATCAAACTGTTCCAACCGTTCCTCCCCTTTACAAACAAAAAAAACAGCTAATGACCATTATAGCCGGGCTTAAGCTGAATAAAAAAAAATAAAAAATTGATGGCTGTCTAAGGTAGAACAGCAGTAATTATTATTACAAAACATAATACATAATAATATATCTATTAAAAAAAAAAAAATTATTACATTGAATTCCACTAATTACTATAATTATAATATTTATAATTTTATTGTAATTTGTAATCATATTATTTTGTTAGTAATTATTACAAAATACAATATTATATATCATAATTGCAAGCATATATGTTTGGCATCAGCCTTGCCAGTTCTGTCACGGATTTGGCTGCCTTGAAGGCGACTATCTAGAATAACCCTCAAGTACCATATGTGTCGGCTCAGACTGATAATTTGGCTCCTAATACGAAGTCGAGGAGGCTAGTAGTAAATATTTGTATATTCACAGTCAGCTTTTCCACGGTAACAAACATTTTTCAAGGGGGAATGTGCGCTTAGAGCACTCCGATTTACCGAACTGATTGTCAACACACTGTTGTCCACTTATTTTCCCCTCACACAAAAATATTTTACCAAACCTTATTGTAAGCCCGAAATAATTATTTCAAGTAAAAAACACAAATTATGAAATAATAAATTTTTTTTTATTGTTATAAATTAATTCTTAATTATATTTACACAAGTTTTCTTACTTCTCTAGTAAAAGGTACATATTCTACAATACGATCATGCATTGTATGTTAATACAACCCAAAAAATTATAATTCCATATGGCGAAGATTTTCATGTTTGCGTTTAGACGGCAACAGTCAAAAGTCGGAAACAATTAAAATAATTTTAACTGGCGTTTATTGTTAACAATGTAAAAAAAATGAAGATTTTCTTTAGACAACTGTTTTCTCTTTATACTATAACTGTTATAGTCCCTCTCTAGTAAATAAAAAATACTCACTAACCCTTCGTTACGACCACTATTACTATGCCGAAGGATTTCATACAGTTGTCTAAAGAAAATATTCATTTTTTTTACAGTGTTAATAATAACCACCGGTTAAAACTATTATTTATTGCATACAACTTGGGTGATTTTTTACTCTTGGTGTCTAAACAGAAACATGAAATTCTTCGCCGTAGTAATAGTGGTTGAGTTTGGAGGTTTTTTTTATTGATTGGAGAGTGAGTATAACATGTTATTCTTTAGACAACGGTTTTCTCGGACGCCTTTACTCGGCTATGGTTCAAAGTAGTCTGACGAATGTATATTAGTATCCATGTATATTTGATACCGATAAATATTCTGATTTGGCCAGATATAGGAAATTCCGTATTTATTTT